CGACAACCTGAGAGACCCAGGGATAGGAACGAGTGTGCAGGTCCTCATGAGCGTAAACCCACTCTCAGATGCCTCGGAAACCTGTTATGTGCCAGTGATTGAGGAATGTACTTCAGATGACTGAGTTTCCTCATTGTAACTATTCTATAATCTTCATCTTTAATAAGTTTACTATGAATTGCTTATTTTGGAACTGTCGCAGCATCGGTGTGAAATCTTTTCTGGGATTGATAAAGGAACTGAGCTCAAAGCATAGAGTCGGCTTGATGGTGCTACTTGAAACTAAATGCGACACAATTAAAGCGAGCAAAATAATTCCTAAATTGGGCTTCAATAACTCCCACATAGTAGAGTCTAATGGTCTTAGTGGCGGTATATGGGCCCTTTGGAAAGATGCAAGTTGGAATATTTCCATCATTGACACCTCTGACTAATACATTCATCTTTTTGTCAAGGTTGGTAGCAATAAGCACTATATTACAGGTGCATATGCAAGCACCAATGTAGTTAAACGAAGACTTCTCTGGCAAAATCTTTCTATGATCCAAGCAAACTTGGATGGTACTTGGTGTTTAGGAGGTGACTTTAACAGAATCTTGCACAGCCACGAACGTCGCTCAAGAACCTCCTCCTCTTCAAATATTGACAAGGATTTCCTATACTGTGTTGAAGACTTAGGTTTAGTAGAGATGCAAACAAAAGGTCCCTTCTATACTTGGAGTAGGGATGGTTGTTGGAGCAGGCTGCATAGAATCCTCTCGAATTGTGCATTTATGGATACGTTCCTAGAGGCTACTGCTATTACTTTATTCCAATATAAATCCGACCACAGACCTATCCTCCTAGGATTATTTCAGAACATTGATCCAAGAAGCGTCACTCGACCGTTTAGGTTCTTTGCACCATGGATCATGCATGATAATTTTACAGAATTTGTGACGCTATCCTGGTTTAAGAATGGAAACTGGAGTGAAGTGGTTGGTTCATTCACAACAAAACTGGAAGTTTGGAGTATGGAGGTTTATGATCACCTTAATAGGAGGAAGAGGCAACTCATGAACAGGTTAGAGGGTCTTAACAAGAATATCTTGGAAGTAGGTGGGAGATGCGAAGTTTACAAACTTCAAAGGGACCTTTGGCGTGACTTGGAGAATATACCGTTGCAAGAAGATTTGATGCGGGCTCAGAAAGCAAACTGTGAATGGCATGCCTTAGGAGATTGTAACTCAAGATACTTTCACCTGCGTGCTAACGGACGTAGGAAACACAAGAGGATTAAGGCAATCCTTAATGAAGCAGGCGAGTGGTTGTATGATGCTGATGATATTAGAAAAGAGGCTATGCGTTCTTTCAATAATCTTTTCTCAGACCCAAGCAACGTATACAACAAGCTGAGTTGTTCAGTGTCTTTCCCCCTATCGAAGACTCTGCCTTATCTAGAATGGGAAGATTGGTCGCTATGGAGGAAGTGGTGGAGGTCATTAAGCATATGGGGCCACTAAAATCTCCCAATCTCGACGGGCTCCCCACCCTCTTTTTCCAAAGTCAGTGGGAACATGTGAGCTCGTCCATCCTTGACGTCATGGAAAAGGTTTTCTCATCCCCTCATCTCATAAAAGATCTTAATCAAACCTTTCTTGTGTTAATCTCGAAAAAGGATAATCCAGAATCTCTTAGAGACTTCCATCCTATAAGTCTATGTAATGTTATCTATAAGATTATTACTAAGCTTGTTGCTAACAGGATCAAGCTTGTATTTCCAAATATTATATCACCTAACTAATGCAGCTTTGTCCCGGGAAGACTTAGTTCAAACAATATCATTGTTGCCCAGGAGGTCATCCACACTATCCCAGGCAAGAGAGGGTTCATGGCTATTAAAATCAACCTGGAAAAGGCTTATGATAGAGTTCATTGGTCATTTGTGGAAGATTGCCTTACAGATTTAAAGCTACCAAGTTGCTTGGTGAATTTGATCAAGGAATGTATCTCCTCACCATCTATGCAGATTGTTTGGGATGGAAGTAAATCTAACTCATTTGCATCCTCTAGAGGAATTAGACAAGAAGACCCGCTCTCTCCCTATCTCTTTGTTATTTGTATGGAGAAGATGGCGCATCTGATACAGGAACAAATGAGCTTAGGTAGATGGAAGCCTATTAGATTGAATAGACAAGGACCCCTAATCTCTCACTTATTCTTTGCAGATGACCTAGTTTTGTTCTCTAAAGCAAGCATCGAACATGTTAGAATCATTAAGGATTGCCTTGACAACTTTTGTGCCTCCTCTGATCAAAAAGTCAATGACTCGAAGACAAGGGTCTTCTCCCACAACGTTAATCACACTATTCGATCTCAGCTCAGTGACGAATTAGGATATGCTCGCGCAGAGGATCTAGGTAAATATCTTGGAGTGCCTCTCCACCATAAGCGAGTCACAAAGGATACCTACCAATTCGTGGTGGATAAAGTTCGCAAGAGATTAGGTAGCTGGAAGAGCTACACTCTTGCACTGGCAGGATGCACAACCTTGATCAAGTCGGTTTCTTCAGCCATGCCAAATCATGTGATGCAAACAGCACTCATCCCTGCTTCTAGTTGCAAGGAGATAGATAGGAAAGCTAGAAGTTTTATCTGGGGTACGACCTTTGAGAAACGAAAAATGCATTTAGTGAGTTGGGATCAGGTCTGCTCGACGAAAGCTAATGGTGGCCTTGGAATTCGGCATTCGAAGTTACAGAACAAAGCACTTCTCATGAAGGTTGGTTGGGGTCTTGTAACTAACTGAGACGCTTTATGGGTCAACATAATTAGAGGCAAATATCAGTGTGGTAATGACCTTATACCCACCATTGAGAGGAAACGGCAGGGCTCAAGGTTATGGAGTGGTTTAAAAATTGTTTAGGAGGATGTCAGGCGCGGGATTGAGACAGTCCGAACTCAAGGGCAGGATCATGCAAGATGGAAGTATGAGAAGAGTGGGATCTTCACTGTGAAATCCGCGTATAAGGCATTAACTAGTGAACCGAGTTTAAATAACCCAAATTGGTCTAGCATCTAGAAGTTGCGGACCCTGCAAAGGTGCAGAACTTTTCTGTGGTTGGTTTTGAATAATAGCCTTCTCACTAATGAGACTAAAATAAGAAGGGGCCTACACCAGGATGGTAAGTGTGATATCTGTGTGGATCGGCTAGAGTCACCTCTGCATGTCCTAAGGGGATGCGCTCTAGCTAGGGAAGTCTGGGTGCGCTTAGGTATCTCTCCCTCCGACTGTCGGTTTTGGAACTCAAATCTCAACGACTGGGTGGGCAATAACATCAGAATGAATCAGTGAGGTCGTTTTGATAGTTGGAAGGAGATCTTTGGTATTTCCTATTGGCTCCTTTGGAGGAAGAGGAATGAAAGGATTCATCAGTCAATTGTTGCCACACTGGATAACTGTGTGGCTGAAGCGTTGGGCATAGTCAGATGCATGATACAAGCTAGTATGAACCCTATGCTGGGCAAGACACCAAAGGTGAATATGTCCGGAGCCCGTAGTATAAGGTTGTTGGATGAATCTCGGGTTACCATACGTGTAGATAGGGCATTTTCTACTAGAACGGGCACAACAAGCTGCGAAGGAGTGCTTACGTGCCAATGCTCAAAGCTTGAAGCTTTTATGTGTAAGTTGAACGCTAGAGATAGTGTGGTAGCTGAAATTTGGGGGTGCATTTAGGGACTACGGAGGGCCTAGGAGAATGGCTTTCGGTTTGTTGACCTCCTCTGCGACTCGACAGAAGTGGTGCATCTTTGCAACGAAAAGGAATTTGAACGCCATGAGGAAGTGGAGTTACTTCATGTACTGCGGAACCTGCTGGAGAGAGATTGGTCTGTGCAGGTCTTTCTGATTGCAAGAACCAATAACGGAGAAGCTGATTTCTTCACCAAAAGGGCCCTCTCACTTGAGTATGGAATCCAAATCCTCTCAGGAGCAGGTGTTTGCAGTCTCTTGGAAGAGGAAGGCGTCACGTAGAGGACCTTTTGTTTTTTTAGCCCTTTTTTCCTTGCTTACAAAAAAAACTCACCTTAGGAAAAGGGAAAATCCCATTAAAAAAATCTTAGAATTACTAAATTTTAAATAAGAAATTTTTATAAAAATGTGTTGTTATCTACAATTTTAGTGTTGTCAAAACCTATTAAAGTATTGTTACCACTTACCAAACCTAATTTGAGATTCGGAAATGTCAAATTTTTTTTTGGTGGGATGCTTCTTTAGAAAAACACATTCAATTTAAATATTCACCCATTAAAAATTGTTGTTTCTTTTAGATATGGTTTGTGTATTTTTCTTCCTAAATTTAAAACAATCAATTAAAAATATAAATAAATTAAATCCCCATGCAATGCAGAGGGCTTATATTTATTTTAAGTAGTAATTAATAATTTCTTCAAGTCTTCCACTATCAATATTTTATCAAGTTTTCCGGAGCTTTCACACTCAAATGTCAACATAACCCCTGTTGTTTTCACTTTTCAATTGGTTTAATACAGCTAACTAACTTTCAACCAAAAAAAAAATACAACTAATCAACTAGTTATAACTTTCAATACCCAATACAACATATTAAAATTAAATAAAAATATTTGTATAGTATAAATTAGATACCCAATCAATTAAAAATAATATGATTTCAACTTACATTACCACACACAACATATTAACATTTAAAGAAAAAAACACCTTTTTCATCCTTCAATTAAAAATCTCAAAATAAGCAAAATATCTTCTGCCAGCCAATGCAGATGCTAGATAAGAATATCCTTCTCAATTTCCAGCCCATTTAAAGTTTTGCAAATTTATTTATAATCCATTTTTTATTTTCACAATTTTTATTTTTATTTTCATGTTTAAAATTTATAATCCGTTAAAAGGAAGAATATGACCTTATTGGACTGCAGAATGCTGCTGAGAAGAGTATGCCAAATTACCTGTTGTGCCAGTCATCTTCATGCTCACGCCTCCCGCACCTCCTGCAGTGCCTTGGGTCCTGTGTCCGGAATACCTCCCGGAAACGCAGATGAAAAGGACGACCCACCCAATGAACTAATTTTTCTTTCTTATAAACAAACTTTAACGGATTATGATATGCTTGCCACGTTCTGATTCATCCCCTCTCATTGACTGATTCGAGACTTCACAGAAATGGCGACGAACGAGGCAGCTTCGCCCTCAAGCGAATCAAAAGTTCCTCTGCTAGAAGATGTACAAGAGGATCATCAGGATCTCACACGAAGGGCTTGGATTGAATCAAAGAAGCTCTGGCATATTGTGGGTCCTGCAATCTTCAGCCGTATAGCTTCTTATGCCATATTAGTGATCACCCAAGCCTTCGCCGGCCATCTCGGCGACCTTGAACTCGCCGCTATTTCCATCGTCAGCAATGTCATCCTTGGATTCGATATCGGCCTCATGGTATATATATTATTCCCCTTTCACTTCAAAGTTCGAACCTTTAACCACTGCGTGATATTAATATGGGTCATTGTGTTGCGTTTTATCAGCTGGGTATGGCGAGCGCCTTGGAGACACTATGCGGGCAGGCCTTTGGGGCGAAGAAATACTACATGATGGGGGTTTACCTTCAACGTTCATGGATTGTTCTGTCAATGTGTTGTGTTCTGCTTTTGCCTATGCTTCTTTTTGCCTCACCAATCTTGAAGCTTTTGGGTCAGCCTTCGGATTTAGCAGAGCTATCGGGAGTTGTAGCCTTGTGGATGATACCACTTCACTTCAGCTTCGCGTTTCAATTCCCTCTTTGGAGGTTCTTGCAATGCCAACTCAAGCCTGGAGTGATTGCTTGGGTTTCTTTATTGGCACTGGTTGTGCACGTTCTTGTGAGTTGGTTGGTCGTGTACAGGTTTCAAGCTGGAGTGATTGGCACAGCCGCCACCATGAATATATCTTGGTGGGTTTTGGATCTAGGGCTTATGTTTTACTGTGTTTGTGGAGGTTGTCCTCTCACATGGTCTGGTTTCTCCATGGAAGCTTTTTCTGGTTTATGGGAATTCGTCAAGCTATCTGCTGCTTCTGGTGTCATGCTCTGGTGATTTCTCCATTATTTTCATGTTGTGTCTTGTTTGATATTTTCATTTCGTATTATACGTTTCTTCATCGGATTCTATGATTTGATTTCACTTACAGCTTGGAGAACTGGTACTACAGAATCCTGATATTGATGACCGGGAATCTGGATAATGCCAAGATTGCAGTGGATGCCTTGTCCATATGGTAAGCACAGCACATACAGAGATCTCGCATTAAAATGTTTACATGTTATTTTTCATCGATCACCTGGTCTATATCATAATTTTGATCTTGTTGTTGTTGTTATTATTTTGTTTTAAATTTGGCAGCATGGCAATAAATGGATGGGAGATGATGATTCCTCTTTCATTCTTTGCCGCGACTGGGTACGTAATTATGAACTCTACATCCGCCTGTAAACAATTTTTCTTCACAGAGTGCTATATGAAAATAGTGCTATTAATTAAGATCAAAGGCTGATAGTCTGTGACAAATAATAAAACATAAACCTATCAAGCACTAAATTGGCCCACAATTCATTTGACAACTTACGGCGTTTGAAAACATCGTTTCCGCAAGAAGAAAACGTGGTTTTTAATTCAGCCGACGTATTTGACTCGTCCTTGAGTTTTGTAGTATTTCTTGATGAGAAAAAAAAAAATTCTTATATCGCTGGGACTTACTAGAGAATTGATGTTCATTTATCAATTTTATTTATCAAATTAACCATATTGATATTTTTCTAATAATAATTAAGTAGGAGAGAAAGGGAGGAAATTAAGAAAGGTACTTAGATATTTGAGAAAAAATATATCATATCGACTAATTTAACTAATACATTTAATTTACTCAAATTAGTTAATTAGATCTTATGTTAAAAACATGAGAAGTATCATAAAAAACTCGGTAATAAGTTAAGAAGAAACAAAACTTGCTGGAAACTTTCAGGGTGAAGTCTTGTATATATCAAAACATAGGCGGTGACAAAAATTGTGAATTTGAATTGAATTGAATTGAATTCGACGAATAATCTTTATATTCCTTTGGACAAATATATAACACAAGTTAATTTTGCTTGGTCTGAGGACAATCATGATAAATCACGGTTTGGAATCTTAACAGCGAAGGAAAAACCAGGTACATCCAAATAGTGCAGACGAAGGCAGTCACATTTTGTGGCTTATGTTGTCACAGTCGCAGAGGATATCTACCAGCCTAGCAATCCTCTAGATTGGTCGAACATGCTCGATGATCATAAGTTGCCTTATCACAAAATTGGAAATTACACCTTCCAACAAAAAATTGTGTTCTGTCCTTGTCGTTTCGTATAATATCCCTTCTTTTTCTATCTCTTTTTTTTTTTTTTTAATTATGGTCCCAAAGCTCGTCTTCCGTAATGATTGAAAGTTGAAACTGTTCCGGCCCATAGATTAGACTACTGCTACGTCCTTGGCCAGGTTTGATTTGATATGATCAAGATCAACTCAGTTTTACACTTCAAATTGAACTGTATTTATTCCTACTTCAAGAATTCACTTCAAATCAATGCTATTTTTTGTTACGTATACAAAACTGTGTTGGTCACATGAAATTAGACTCTGTTATTTGTCCGCTTGTCTCGTTGCTTATCCCATTGAAAGCGATTGATCATCTCGTGCCATGAAAAATCAACATTATCATGTATATACTCAATGTCAATTTTTTTTTCTTAAATGTGTTTATTTTGTTTATGGTTCGTCTGGTCGGGGAATTGCAGAGTGCGAGTGGCAAATGAGCTGGGAGCTGGGAATGGAAAAGGAGCCAAGTTTGCAACAATGGTGTCGGTGGTGACGTCAACCATAATAGGCGTGGTGATATGTGTCTTCATCATGATTTTTCACAATCAAATTGGCTATTTATTCTCTCCAAGTAAACCAGTGCTTGAACAAGTCAACAAGCTGTCTCTTCTGTTGGTTTTCACAATACTTCTCAACAGTGTTCAACCAGTTCTCTCAGGCACTGCCTTCCTATATCCCCTTTATAATGTTGTTGACTTTCAATAATCTGCTGACATGGCTTATAAAACTCCAGGGGTAGCTGTGGGGTCAGGGTGGCAATCCTACGTGGCATACATAAACCTGGGTTGCTACTATGTTATTGGTTTGCCTCTTGGAATTTTGATGGGCTGGGTCTTCCATCAAGGAGTCATGGTACCATCTTCTGCCTAATGTCCCTCTTCTAAAACCAATTTGGCGCTGATTTCAATTAGCTTGTTTTCACTGATTCTACGTTTGACAAAGTAAATATGTGGGAAGAGTTTTGTCTGAAAATCTCTAAAATATTCTTTCAGTTGTGTTTCCAAACCGGCACTTAGTACTCCTCCGGTCCTTAATATAAGACCCATTTAACTAATTTGATTAGATTAAAAAAGTTAGGTAAATTAGTTAATTATAAGAAAAGTGACACATTTTTCCTAAAACATCATAATCATCTTTCTTAATACCCTATCTCCCTCTTTTACTTGATTATGGTTGAGAGAGTATTCATAGGGGTAATTTAGAGAAAATTGATAAATATGAGAAATGGGTCTTATATTTAGGATCAAAACCAACTCAAGAATTGGGTCCTATATTAAGGACCGGAGGAGTATTTGCTGAATTAAGATGATATGCATGAAACTGAAAAATATTTAATCTCAGGGAATCTGGGCAGGCATGATTTTTGGGGGAACAGCAACTCAAACCTTAATATTGGCCCTCATCACCATTCGTTGCAATTGGGACACAGAGGTAAATATATTTGTAACCATTCTGTTTCATACTTTCATTCATTCCAAGTCCAGTCAGATTTAATTTTCACTTGATCTTATAAATATGAAAAATCCACCTCGTTGGGTTAACCATCGCAGGCTGAGAAAGCAAACTTGCACCTCAGGAAGCTGGAAGATCAAATCTGAAAAGAATGGGCTTCGTCTTTGCATTACGTTGTTTGGACTCATTAATGGGCATCTTATCAGTCTGGATTGTCACGCAAGGAGCAGTCTAACTTATGTATATAAAAAATTAAATTATAAAGTCCAAGGACATTTATCTGTATGCATACTGTCGAAGAAAGTCAGGTCATGACAAAGATGGGCCTGAGGTCCAGCCAATCTGGTTTGAGGAGACTGTTTGGGCTTATGATAATGGAAGGCTCGAGCCCAACAACATATTACTGCCAATAAAAGAAGCATTTACGATTCGAGCTTATAGTTTGTGTTTTCTCATGTAAATTTGGTGATCCGATCTTATTATTTACCAGGTTATAATCATAATCATTTCGAAGTGGAATTGCTGGGCAGCTTCTGTTTGTTCTCTGCCCCGTTCAATCTTATACAGTGAAGAGTTCCATTTCATTATCATAATTAAAACTGATCAGTTTTCTTGCCAATAATATGTAATTGAACAAAGGGATTGTTCGCAAGAACAAATGGTTGTTTGGTGACCACGACTGATGAACAGCCAGTGCACGTGTGCAATCCAAATGGCTTAGTAGGATGTTGTCATTGCCTACTCACCAACTGGCCCTTTTGCAGAATTATAGGAAAAGCTAAATATTGACAATGCTAAAGAGACGATCTTCACATGTTGGGATGCTCGCGTTTGTGGGCACTGGGAACGCCATTTATGTTTGGGAAAATTACAATAAGTTCTGATTCAAGAGAACTAAATGCAAAAAAGTTTTTTAAAATCATCATATTATTTTCAAGTTTCAAAGGACCTCATTGCAATCAATTTTATTTGTTTAATTACTAAATTATTCTTATTATTTTTTTAAAGTTTTTATTGACAACTAAAAGAGCAGTCGTTGACAATTCAAGGTGTAAAGATTAACAACTATCGCCGCAAGTATTAACAACATATTTTCTCAACACATCACAAAATGTAATGCATGAGTTGTCAATACCTGTCGTGATAGTTGTTAATCTTTATATTTTGAGTTGTCAACGACTGATCTTTCAATTGTTAATACTAACTTTAAAAAAATAATAAGGGTAATTTGATAATTAAACAAATAAATTCTTTTGCAATGAGGTCTCTTAGGACTTCAGAATAATTTGATGATTTCAAAGAACTTTTTTGTATTTAATTCTCTTGGTTGAGACTTTGCTACAATTTTCCCTTAATGTTTTTGAGTATGTGTGGTTATTACCTATTCCTTCCAATTTCCTTCTCCTCATTCTTGTCCACACACGCCCACCATCTATTTGATATAATGCCAATGTGGCTCCCTATGTTATAACCACTTTCCAGGTCACTGAACACACTCTCTCTACTGTCATCACATGGAGCCCAAATGCTACAAGTTTGCCTCCAATTCAATTACAATTATCCTTGCTTCTTCTCCTTCATGAGGCACACTCTATCTGTCAAAGTTTCTATGTATACTTTGTACTGTTTCAGGCCGCCCTTTTTGTCCTGAGAGATCAGAACCCATGAAGTAAGGCAATGCGTTTAAGCATGCTGAGTACTTGACAGCAATTTTTGAGCACGGCTAGCTGTACTGTGTGAGACAATAATTGAATAATGAGAATGGTTATTCAGGAAACGTCAAAGTCGTGGATAGTTGCTTGCTTCAGGAGGCATTGCGTCTGCAGCAATAATCAAATACTAGTAATAGTGGTGAAATCATTTCAGGTACCTGTCCCCAATGTGGTCCAGTGCCTGCTCACCTAATTACTACCCATTGTGAGATTTCAGCCTCAAGTCCATATTCTCAATAATGGGATCAGATGAAAATGAAGGAAAATATGGAATTTTTTTTAAAAGGAAAAAGATATACGGTCATGATTCATAATCTCTTATAAGGCTTTAACCTGAAGTATGAAATTTCTAAATTCAAAATTCTATTATCTGTGAACTTCTTTCCCTTCATCCTTATCTTCTTTATAACTTGGACCACTTTGTTGTTCGGAAATGACTTTCTGTGGCTCAATTCAACATGGTAAATCCCCAAAAATCAATATTTTAGTGTATAATGTAAAATCATCAGCAAGTTCCACAGCTAATAAATAGTGAAAAGTACGAGTCATTTCTCATGTTTCACGTAATGCCTGAAGGTCGGTCGTGAAGAGCCATGTTTCATGTAATGTTTCAATTATTATATATTTTCAGCCCCCGACACTCAACACTAATTTTATACTATCCCTTAAAATAAAATCCTGACTTTGCCTAAAATGGGTCATTAAGAAGGGACAAGATGAGTAGGAAAAAAGTGAAGAGATAAGATTGAATAAAGGCCATGTTTGGTGGGAGGGAAAGCAATATCTAAAGAAAAGGAAAATTGAGAGAAAATCCTCAGGATATGTTCATAATAGTACTTTCACTAAAAAGCTTACTTACACCAAACGCTGGAAAGAGCATTCCAATAACATAAGTTACATAACCAAGGAAATACCACTTTTATATTGAAAATCATAATGTCAAAGAAGAAAATAACCCTACTCTTTATCGTTTAAGTCTTTAAGACTAATTCTCTCTTATTATTTATAAAGTATATTTGTGTTATATTTTTATAAACCATACCATACATGTAAATAATTAAGTTTTACGGAAGGTTCGCTTTCCTCTCTTTTTGCAAATTTCATTCTCTAACAGACCCTTTGTATTATATTATTGTACCAAACGTGACCTAATTGAACTAGAGAATTTTCCAAGAACTTTAATTTCAACGTTCTCGAGAAAGATTATGAGTGACATTTGCGGATGATATTGCATGTATGGGTGAAGAACGTAATGATTAAAAGCTTTGAAATGAATTAAAAAAACAAAAGGAAAAGCAAAAGAAAGAGTTGAAGAACACGTATATATAGCGATAAATATGCTGACGTAAATCCTCGTCAAGGTTAAGACTCAGAAGGAACACGAGTTTTAAAAAAGGAACTGTGGGAAGGGAATTGCTTTTTAGAGTGGGAAAACGGACCGGACTGTTTAGGTCCTGAAATTATAAAGGCTGGGTTTGATATTATTCCCTTCAAATAGAAAATAAGCCTTAGAGGGTCGCAGGCTGACCCTTTTAAGCCCTTTTATAATTTTCTTTATTTTTTAAAATTTTTTATATAATTCTAATATTATTAATTTTTGACATTGTTAATAATATTTCAAATATTTAGTTATTATTATCATTTTAAAATTAAATTTAGTGTTAGACAATAATTTATCCAATTAAATTTTTAAAAAATGGGTTAATTTGGACTTTAATAATGATTTGATTTATATTATATGCGTTGATATTTTTAAACTATATATATTTGATAATAGAGTATTTTTATACTTATATAACTTGTGATTCTATAATTTGAATTAGAAATTCATGAGTTTCAACAATAATGTTTCTCACATTAAAGTAAAATAATAGCTAGATTGTACAATTTAAAAGTAAAATTCCTATAAAGAAGAAAAACTTGATATTTTTGTTACGAAACATACTTATGAAGAAGAGTAATTAATTATAGTGATGATGAAGTTTCAAAAGATTAATGATAGTGTTTATTCATTGCACAATTGCACTATAAATATAACTTTTGGATGTTGTTATCTTGTTAATGAATGTTTTAGATGTTCTTGGATGTTGATGGATATTTAAATATGATGATATTTTATATTTGTGACTTAATTTTATTCATATTTATGTCTTTTTTTAATAATTTCATTGGTTTATTTTTATTTTTTATAAAAAAATATGATAAATATAAAAAATAGTATTTTTTTTCTTAAACGGACCAAAAACCCGCGGGCCGGCCCTCAACCCTGTAGCTTAAGGGCCAGGTCTAATAAATTAGGGTATTTTTAAACCTTCAGCCCTGAAAGGCTGGCCTTTTTAAACCTACCAGTCTTGATTCCCACCTCTATTAATGCTTTTTAATTATATGCGGATTATGCTCATCTCTTTAACTTTTGTAAAGTTGATCATATGAATTGACATAAATGACTTAAAGAGTGGTCGAAACAAGAGCCCTCTGTCTTCACACCACTTTGCCAATCATCACTATCCTTGACTTCAGCTAGCTAAATTATCTTTCACTTTCTCCCATCCATCGGCGCAAAGCAAAACCTATCATCAACTTTCTTAGCAAATTCAATTTCAGATTTTCAAAAAGAAAATTAATACTCCTTCTAATATATCCTATATATAAGTTACAGTTTATTTCTGACAAAAAAAAAAGTTACAGTTTATAAGGGACCGTTGGTCCTTTTGGTCAACTTTCTTAGCAAATTCAATTTCAGATTTTCAAAAAGAAAATTAATACTCCTTCTAATATATCCTATATATAAGTTACAGTTTATTTCTGACAAAAAAAAAAAGTTACAGTTTATAAGGGACCGTTGGTCCTTTTGGTCAGCTACACTTGGTACATTTTCTTTTCTTTTTCTTTTTCTTTTGTCATATTATTTCTCTTCTTTTTTTTTTACACATTTTCTGTTGTGATCTTTTTTTTACTTCTCTCTCTCTCTAAATTAATCCCCATCTATAAATTATGGTATATTTGGAGAAAAATACATTTCTTACATATTTATTACTTTTTTTGTATAATTCAGAATATTTTCAAACTATTTTGGGTTTAAAATTAATCTCTGTTGAGCCGAAAGCATACTAAGATTAAAACCCTCCCAACAAGGCTGTTTTTCAGGATTCAAACTTGCGTTCTTCTTCTTTTGAATGGTAAAACCGCTTACCATCTTAACCAACAACTTGTTGGTCATATTTATTGTTTTTAATCAATTACAACCAACTTTTTTATTTACATAATTTGGTTATTTGTGTGCAAAATATAGAACTGGACATACAAATATAAAAGTACGTACGTACAAATTAGTAGAAACTATACTTTTCATATCCTCCTCTGGTTCTATTTATAAAGTAGAGAGAGAAAGTTTTTCTTAATCCTATTTATAAGTTACTTCATTAGATTTTTAGTATAAATGTATTATTTTGTCTTTCATTTATTGTAGTATAGATAATTATTTTTTTCGAAAGGTGTACATATTAAATAAGGATAAAATTAGAAAGTTATTATATTTTACTAGATAGTCAATGCCACTTAAAGTTTTTTTTAGTCTATATGAAATATATTAGAAGTGTGGATCATGTTGGAAGTATTATATAAATAAAATCATGGGAGTAATATAAAAAGAATGACGAGGCTTTTCTCTGTTCACCTAGTTACTTGATATTTGGATTTTTAGATATTACTGTTCTAAAATGGTGCTGATCTGTCCAAATACATCCAAAATAAGTCTATTTTAAATATATTTGGACCGATCAAAATACAGAAAACTTGTAGAGAAGT